TTGTTTAATAAACGATCATTTAAATGTGAAAATGTTCGTTATGGGAACAAACTCAGTCGTACTATTTTTATACGTCCTGCAGCAATTACTGAAGAACTTGTTCATTTTATTGACAAAAAATCCAACAGTATTATGTTTTTTCGTTTTCTACGTTTTTTGAAAGCTCTTAGTTTCACTTATTCTCACTTGTTCTCTTTCTTCTAGAAGTTAGAAAGAAGCAACATTATAATAATAATATTTGTTTATACGTACAATATATATTTGGAAATCCAGATCAAACCAAGCATCCGTGTCTCATACTGGGGATTGAGCAGTCTGCAGCGAAAAGGAAGTTTCCAAGAGGCAGCAAAGACAGAGGAAGCTTTCTGATAATCTCTACAGCTCTGCCTTATAACAAGACGTACTTGCAGTAGGAAACCAAAGAGCATTCACCTCTTAGCTGATTGAAAGACGACTGTTTTCTATATGAAAAATTGTTTCCGTAACGAGGAGTACATGCAGTGGGCAGACGCAAATTTCCGCGTTTAATTGTATACGATTGCATACGATCCCATCTCTATCATACGTAGACGTGCTTCGAGACGTGGTCATTATCGGACGTCTCATGAAAAAGCACCGCGTAAAGGCGAGCGAACTCAGTGCAACAGATGCATGTGGTTGCGTAAATTCCTATCACGGACGCGTTTAGGCGTGTGTACGTCAAAGAAAATATTTTCCTAGGAGTAGCGGCGAAAAGTTTTCAAAAAATCGAAATTCGATTTACGAGTGAACCAAATAGATCATTTTCTTCAAAAATCGACGCCGGTCCCGAATGTGTGACTTTTCTGCAGAACGATGTTGTATGTGGAAACTGGTTGATGTTGAGCTTTGTAGGGGCTCTTGGACTTAAGGAGATCATAGAAGTTCATAGGAGTTCTGAAGCCCCGGAGTTCGCTTTTCCCCGTTGGTTTTGCCTCTGGCTTGAAAAATGTAACGGAGAAATTCTTGAACAGAGTTCACCCTTCTAAACTGAAGGAAGAGATTTTGTCTGGCCAAGGTCTCCTCAATCTACATAATGAGACCAGATAAAGGCCGAGGTGTCGTGTCTTTTGAAAGTCAGAAACGTTTTGTATCGTCTAAGAATCGCAAACGTGCGACAAGGTTTTGAGAGACAAGATTTGATCCTGTATGCGTCTCGAAGGTATATTTCACTCATGCTGTTCTACAGTTCAAGTAGATAAAGGTGAGGTCATGCTTTAAATAGAAACCGAAAACTTTTTTGAATTTATTTAACAACAGTAAACACGCACACACTTCGGTGAGCCTGCGGCATCATTGATTCATCTGCAATAATGCACAGTTTCGAAGGTGATCAGCACATTACTTCATGGATTCGCACAGGAAAAATATTTCCAGAAAAAGCTGACGACATCAATCATTGTTTCTTAGGAGCCATTGCACGAGAACCACAACAAGTCATGCTCAATGAATGTCTCATCGTATTCAGCATATGTGGAAACCTATAAATCCAAATTTTCATCTTCTCTGGACTTTTAGTCTCAGAGTTATAGACGGTTTTCTGAAGACCTCTCGACGAAAAATTCAGCATCCAAGAAATGGAAAATAAAAATAAAAATTCTGTATCTCGCTTAGTTCAGGTTCTGAGACAGAGATTTTTTCACTATGAAAAGCCGACCATGTGGGTTTTTTTATGACACCCTCAAATCATTTTTATCTCAGGATCTTCAGCTGGAAAACTTTGGTTTTCTAAGGGCCTCGGGCATCAAGTTGTTTTGAATTTTTTGCGAGGTCAGCCACCTAGTATGAAGCGAGAGACACATATTCTGGTACTTTCAAGTACGGACTATCCAAATCCGCTTTCAAAAGTTTGGGCCTCACAAAGGATCTCTGGAAAACTCACATGGCTTCTCTAGAAAACCTTTAAATATTTTAAAATTTTTTTTTTTAATTGCGTAGTTAGAAAGAGCGAAAAATTGTGAACAAAATGATGTATCGATCCCTTGAAAATCTTCTGCAGTCAAACTTTATTAGTATGAGCCCTGAAATATTGTGCGATACATCATTTTGTTCAGAATTTTCCGCTCTTTCTAACTACGCAATTAAAAAAAAATTTCAAAATATTTAAAGGTTTTCTAGAGAAGCCATGTGAGTTTTCCAGAGATCCTTTGTGAGGCTCAAACTTTGTCACAGTCAAATTTGAAAAATTCATTGAGCATGCTTCTGTGCCAAACAGGCGTTTTTCTCGTGCAATGACTCTTAGATGGGCTTACTACAACAAGGAGATAGACAAAAAATGTTACGCATATGTTATTTGCAGAGTATACTGCTACGAGCTGCACATACAAAATGAAAGCGGACAACAACAAAAAGAAGCTTACTTAACTTAACCTCCTATAAAAGTCACCTATTACGTGTAAGCAGTTGAGAGCCATCTTTTACTTTACTAATCGTTTTATCAACAGTAAATGGTGTTCACGACAATAAAGAAAACTAATTAAATTTGTCAGCGCTACGAAACCAGTTCACTTTTTTCGTTTCATTTCTTTTTTGTTTGAGGAAGTGTTGTAGATTTGCGCGTGATGTATCCTGCGTATTGTTAGCTAATCTCTGTTGTAGACCGACATGACCGCACACCTTCAACATCTTAGCTATCAATTTCTTAAGTTCGTTTCGAAATATTGAACCGGAGAGCGTGAACAGGTAAAAACTCGACACATGGCCAACAAAAGACATCCAACCGACGATTATGCCAAAGACGTTGTCCTGTGCCAGTTTGAATGCATCTTTGTATTGACTACTTGTGTATGATGCATATAATTTTTGAATGGATAAAGGGATTGTGGATATAGCAATGACAATACATTGTACTAAAAGCATCATTAGCATTTGCTTGTCCGTCTTTCGTTTTCGCACTACATCGGATGTTGCTTGAGCGTGATCGAATTTTCAAGTAAATTCCTATATCAGAAGTGTGTTTCCTTTATATTGTGACAAACAAACTTGAGATGAGAGAGTTGAGAATCCTCGATCATCCATTCCTGCACTAACGAGTAGTCATAATGACCGCTGATTTATGAAAATGCAGTGAGTAAGAACGTTTGCTTTTCCGCAAGTAAGAGCACTAAATTAGGGGAAAATATTTGATTTGATTTGAGTGGAAGCTTTATTATAGCAGACAGCTGCTGCACATCTTGCTTGTTCAACTTGAGAAAAAAATTTAGTCCACTAAGAGCGTTTGCTCCTTTAAAGCGAATTTGAAAGTTTTGTCAAAATATATCTATCTTGAAGAGCTGACTTTGCTCATCTTGATTATAAACCTAACAGCAACACCAATGGGAGGGATTACTAAGTACTCTATCGGACATCTGCTGTCCTCTCTCCTCAATTATAAGATTATACTACCTTTTTGATCATGTTTACGTGATTGCGCTACTCCTAAAACATGCTGCTATACCGACGACTGATTTGACTAAATTTCAGCGCTAAAATGCACCGATTTTGGGTTTGAAGCAGGGAAACGGAACTTTTAGCTGTACCTGTTGTACTTTCGATGTCTGCCCAATTTTTTTTAATGTTATTTGTTATGATTTTGTGACTGTGCTGAGGCTTTTTTGTTCATGGCATAAATATTTTACAAAAGTATAAGAAACTACACGACGAAGAAAAGCTACAACGCAAAAAGTAACTAGGCAATGGGAAAAAGATTAATCTAGAATCAAATAAACAGTAAAAGTATACTAAACATCTTGCCCGATTGTTTTATTCTGTTAATCAAAATTAGATGCAATAGTGATCGTTAACTAAGCAAATAATGTTATAAATACTCGAACTTAATGCCGTTTCTCCTTCAAGCTAACCGCGTTGTAAAAGAAAACTTTTATTCCTCATTGAAGTCATTAGATGTGACTCTCACACTGTTTTTTCCTCGGTATTTCCAAACATCTCATTTTGGCTAGCAGCATACGCGTATTCCACGGAAAATATTGTTTTGTCGATAGTTCGTCTTGTTCATCTGTGGAGTAGTCACTTGACGTGTCAGTCTAAAATAGAAAATCATAACGGAACATTGCAACTGTTAGACAAAATCAGAAAATTTTACTCTTGCAGGTGGGGCACTTGCAAGAAGGGCTTTTACCTGTTCTCCGTTGTTATTGCTCTCGTCCTCTTTCTCTTCCGTATTTGGTTCATACCAGTCATCGTCAAAGAAATCGGTTTGTGTAGTTAACTAAAACGATCAACAAGAGAAAATTCTGAAAGCAACAGAAAGAAGAGCGTTACTAAGTTGTTTTTTATTGTTTGTGAAAGAATCGTTATCCGAATCATCGTCAGCCTGACTCTTGATCTGTGAAACAAAAATAAAATAGAATGATGACTGATAACTATTTGTAGTACTCACAACATTGCTGTTGTAGTTTCGGGCACTTCCTAAAGAAGAAAAGCAAGAACAGCTATAGATCGTAATTATCGCAGAGAAAGTGTTAATCATACTTCTTCAGCGGATTCATCATCACTAAAATGAATTGTGCTTGTTTTTTTGACAGCTACAACTTTCTTACTTATGATCTTTGCAAAAGAAATATCCATATAGAAAGAAAGGAGGACCACAAGAACTTACAGCACTTTCCAAAAAAGAACCGCAAATTCAAGAAACGAAGTTATATATTTGATACAGTTATATAGAAGTACCTTTGAGCCTAGGTAAAAATGAAGATGGATCGCATCAAAATAGACATTCTTGGAATAGGTGAACTAAAATGGACAGGAACTGGTCACGTTACATCAGGTAACTACGAAGTTTACTATTCTGGTAGTGAAAACATCAGAAAGAATGGAGTAGCCCTGATTGTAAACAAAAAACTCATCAATTCGATAATTGGTTATAATACAAAAAACGATAGAATGATTTCTATTCGTTTACAAGGAAGACCGACAAACTTAACAATAATACAAATTTACGCACCAACTACAGAAGCAGAAGAATCAATTATCGAGATTTCTACATGGAATTACAACAACTATTAGACGATGTTCCCAAGAAAGATACAATCCTGATAATCGGTGATTGGAATGCAAAAGTTGGCGAAATAGAAGTTCTTGGAATAGCTGGAAAATTCGGGTTGGGCAAACGCAACGAAGCAGGCGACAGGCTGATTGAATTCTGTCAAGAAAATCATATGGTTATTACAAACACATGTTTTCAACAACCGAAACGACGACTATATACATGGACAACACCAAATGGACAACATCGAAATCAAATTGATTATATTCTCTGCAATAGACGGTGGAAAAGCTCAATAACATGAATCAAAACACGACCAGGAGCTGACTGCGGCACTGACCACGAACTCTTGTTAGCGTCTTTTCGAATCAATTTCAAACATCATCACAAATCAACACAAACAACAAAACCCGATCTACAAAACATCCCGTACAAATACAAGGTAGCAGTAAAAAACAGATTCAACGCGCTCAATCTGATTGACAAAGAACCTGAAGAATTATGGCAAGAAATACGGGACATAATCAACGACGAAACGAAAAGAAATATACCGACAATACAAAAGAAGAAGAAAAACAACTGGATATCGTCAAGCACCTTGGAAATCGCAAAGGAAAGGCGAGAAGTTAAATCAAATGGAAACAGACAAGCCTTCACAAAACTTAACGCCGAATTTCAACGTGCTGCAAGAAAAGACAAAGAAAAACAAATAATGCAAGAATGCGAAAAAGTAGAGGAATACAACAGAAAAGGTATGACAAGAGATCTTTTCAAGAAGATAAAACACTTTCGTGGACAATTCATACCAAAAAATGGCACATTAACAGATTCAAGTGGTAAACACTTAACAAATGGTCATGAAATCAAGAACAAATGGAAACAATACACCGAGGAACTATACAAGAAGGAAATCAATGGAACCGGGAATTTAGATCTTGACAGTTATGAACCAGAACCAGATATTTTGGAAAACGAAGTGACATTCGCAATGGAAACACTAGCAAATGGTAAAGCACCTGGACATGATGGCATTCCAATCGAATGTTTTAAAACAATTAAAGAAGATACAGTGAAAGTATTAACAAAATTATGCCAACAAATATGGAAAACAAACAAATGGCCTCAAGATGGAAAACATCGATATTCATTCCCATACCGAAGAAGGGAAATGCCAAAGATTGCTCAAATTACCGAACAATTGCTCTTATCTCACACGCCAGCAAGATAATGTTGAAGATTATACAACGGCGATTGGAACCTTTTCTCGAACGAGAAATGCCAGTGACACAAGCAGGATTTAGAAAAGGAAGGGGAACACGCGACCAAATAGC